GCTCCATCAGAACACAAAGCTTCAACTCCATTCCAGGATAGATATTTTCTTCATTCAAAGGATGGATTCATCCATGAAATACTTTTCTAAAAAGCCACTGTCACCATTCTAGTCCCCTGGCTTTTCCCAGGTACTATTCTTTCCTCAGTAAGGATCTTGAGTCATGCTGATCCCTTTGTTCTTGTCCCTTCTGCTACTGAGGTTTTTGCCTCCTATTGCCTCCCAGAGAAGTTGTTCCAACACCCACCAACATGCTAGCTGAAGATGTCCCACAGGACATACTTATTCAAGCTGTTTCTTTGGGTTCTGCTTTTACTAGTAGGGGTGGAAAGGTAATGAGAAATTGTGTACTAAAGGTGGAAATAGAAATGGGAATTTAAAGGCAACACTTCTGCTGTCTATCTTCAGTAGGAGGTATGATGAAGTAAAGGAATAGGTGAGGGGACTATTGCTATTATCCTCCACTTCTCTAAAGAGTTTTGCTTTTTAGCTCTTTTTCCTGCCTCCACTGTACTCCCTTGCTCAAGAAATACACATATCCTTCCTCTATCACTGTCACCTTCCGTAGAGCATCAGGGGCAAGTTTTCAAGGTCCACTGCTACCATCACTACTGGCAGTAGCTGTGGCCACACCTAATTCCTTTTCTTTTTCTTCCACCATCATTTCTTCTCTTCTTTATTGTACCAGCTGCACTATATTTAGACCTGTAAGAAAAAAAAATACCTGCACGTACCCATATCTCCCAATGTGCAGAGGCCAATAGGATATACAAAATACCATGTTCTTCCTACTTCCTCCACAAAATATTTGTTCCCCCTGACAGTCTTCTTTTTCCTGTACTCCTGTCCCAAGTCATCGGGTCATTTACTGGGTTTGCTTTTTGTTTTGTTTTTGGTATTGGGGATTGAATTCAGGCACTTAACCACTGGCTACCTCCCCATCCCTTTTTTTGTATCTACAGACAGGTTCTCACTGAATTGCTAAGGGCCTTGCTAAGTTGTTTAAGTGGCTTTGAACCCTCAATCCTCCTGCCTCAGCCTCCCAAGCTGCTGGGATTACAGGCATGTGCCACTGCACCCAGCTATTTACTGTTTCTTATTCATATCTCTAAGGTAAATTTATGGTCTCACAACATCATTTTTGTTGTTTTTCCCCTCATCTCACCACATGCATTCTAAGTTATCTAGATTGTTGCCTCTCCCCTATCCCTTGTCTCAGAAGAGGTTTATGCTGCCATTTTGTACTTGGATTTCTACAATCTTACTTATCATCTTGAATTCCTGAAAGGGGAGTGACTTAGAGAACAGAAAGTTACGTAGATCCCTGCTTATAATACCTGAACATCCCTTACGCTCTGCCAGGACCGCAGGGAGAAGGCAAGAACCAGAAGAGAATGATTGCATTATACATGTAGGGAGGCTAGGCCTTACAAGTCAGAACTTGCAGTATTGACAGACACTCCTATCTCCCACAGCTGTTCCTCCAAGAGCAGACATTCCCACCTCTAAGCTACTTCATGAATTTGGACAGTGCAAGTAGTAAGGATAATCGAGGTGGAATAAAGAAAGGTCTCATATGTACCCCTCCAATTCTTGGATAATTCACAAGGAAGGGCCCTCCAATGGTAAATAAGATCGAACTTTCCTTCACCTCAGTGAAATCGAGGGAAGCATAAGCAAATTAGCCTCCCAAAGCTACACACACACACATGACACAAGACATATAAGGCAAGTACAAACTCTTTATTGCAAGTTAGGATCAGAAAACTCAGACAATGTTCGTGAGATGGGCAGGATCTCCAGGGAAACTCTGTGACACCTTTTGTTCACACTGGAGGCACATCTAACCTCCCACAGGGCTCTACCCTGGCTCCTTGCCTTGCTACTGCCTTGGAGGAGCAGTGAATCTGCAGATAACATACCCAGTGGAAGGCAAGAGGCTCAGGGGCATTCTGGAGCCTGCTGGCCTCATCCAGGTCTATTATTAACCAAAACAATCCTCCCTAGAGAAGCACCATCTATACATAGAGCAGTGGCCCTGTTTTCTGTCTTTGGAATGCATTTTTCTCCATACACTTTTTGTTTTGTTTTGTTTTGGTACCAGGGATTGAACCCAGGGGCACTTAACCACCAAACCACATCCACAGCCCCTTTTTTGTATTTTATTTAGAGACAAGGTCTCACTGACTTGCTTAGGACCTCACTAAATTGCTGAGGCTGGCTTTGAAATCACGATCCTTCTGCCTCAGAATCCTGAGTCACTGGGATTACAGGCATGTACCATACATACACTCTTGAATGGAAAGGGACTTGGGATGGGAACAGCCTGGGGTTGAGGGCTTGGTTATGTAGTGAACACTCTCCCTTCTCCCCACCAAAACAACACTTTTTTGAATACAACCCAATGATCTTTTAGACAGGTTATAGGTCAGCCAGAAAAATAGGTATGACTCAAGAAATGAAACAGGCAGAGGATCAGAAAAGCCGTGCCTGTGATTTTCCCAGGACATTTTCCTGATTTTTGCCACTGCTCATTTGTCTCACTTGGGACTAATGAGATGTGCAGTTTGGTCACTCAAGTCCTTTCATGAATTTTTTTTTCAAGTTGCCTCCCAGAAATACAGAAATGGATATGAATGATATTTAAATTGGTTTTATCCAAGTTTATATTACATGCAAGGCAAAGAAAACACTCCTAGTCTAATGTGGGAGTTATGTTCTTTCCTATCATCAAACCAAACTCACCAAAAAAAAATTATGATGTATACAAGAGATAATATTGTATAGTTCCAACTCCTAAGAAGCACAAAGCATTCAATAATGAGTTAAATGAAATTAAACAAGTTTTCTATCATATATAGAGTTTAACAATACAAACCCTCAACAGTTTCAAGTTAATCCCTTGAAGAAATTAAATTCTAGCATAACTATTTTGTTCTTCATTGTCCCACTAATAAGTGCCAAAGCATCTCTTCTTCCTTTTCTCTCTTCTTGGATCCATTTCTTCTTGGCTTCAGGCAGTGGGAAGGTGGGGTCTCAATGAAGTGTGCATCAATCAAAATTGAGGTATTCTTTCAAGCTCTGGGAAGATCTTTTAATGGGACAGGTTCATCTTCTGCAGTAACAACTTTGGTGGGGCTGAGATACAAAAACGGCCTCACCTACAAAAGTTAAAAAGCAAAAAGAATCAAACATGAACACTATAGTAGTTTCCAAAGGATCAGTAATATTTTCAAGGAAAAGTGGTGTTCCTAAAATTCAACATAGCTTATCACTCTAAAAGCAGATGGCTGCTAAAAAATAAATGGCATTTTCAAGAAAAAGAGGTTAAGAAGAAAATAGAGGGACTGGGGTCGTCGCTCAGTGATAGAGAGCTGGCCTCGAACGTGTGAGACCCTGGGTTCGATTCTCAGCACCACATAAAAATAAATAAACAAAATAAAGATATTGTGCCATGTATAACTTAAAAATATATTTAAAAAAAAAGAAAACAGAAAGGAGTGGGGGGTGAAAACTTCATAATTTTAGTTCTCTGGAGTGTCAACTAGTCCATAATAGCCATCAAGAATCCACCATCTGACTGGCTCAGTGGCACATGCCTGTAATCCCAGCAGCTGGGGAGGCTGAAGCAGGAGGATAGTTCAAAACCAGCCTCAGCAAAAGCGAGGTGCTAAACAATTCAGTGAGACCCTGTCTCTAAATAGAATACAAAATAGGGCTAGGGATGTGGCTCAGTAGGTGAGTGCCCTGAGTTCAATCCCCAGTACCCCCCCCCCCAAAAAAAAAAAATCCACTACCTTATTTAAAAAAAGAAAAGCAAGCTGGGTGTGGTGGTATGTTGAGAGCCACAGCCAGTCAGAATGTCGCCTGGCATATTGCCAGAGGGAATGGTTGAAAGGTGACTCCAGCGAACCATTGAGATGATGATTTGAGTTAAGCTGTATATAATTGCTGTGATGCTGGATTGATTGAGTTGTATATGGACCCTGCTCCAGGAATAGGGCAGCTCCTGGAATCTGCTTGCCCCCCCCCCCATTTTGGAGTTCCCAGTTCCCGTGCAGTTCTCACTGGGGTTGGGGAGATTGGGCACTCGGAGCCCAGTGGAAGGAGTGTGTTCCCGGGAAGTGTGTGTGCAGTGCCGGTGAGAGTTGGGGAATAAAGAATTGCTGTTTGAATCTACAAGGCTTTGTGGTGGCTTGGTTATTTGTGCCCAGCCAGACTGCAGCAGTGGTACGCACCTGTAAGCCCTAGTGACTCTGGAGGTGAGACATCCTCAACAAGTTAATGAGATCCTGTCTCAAAATAAAAACATAAACAGGACGAGGGCTATATTTCAGTGGTAAAACACCTCTGGGTTCAATCCCTAGTACCCCAAAACAAAAAAAAGAATCCACTGCCAAGCAGTGATGCACATGGCTTGGGAGGCTGAGGCAGGACAATTGTAAGCTTGAGGCCAGCCTCAGCAACTCAGTGAAGCACTAAGTAGAAAACAAAACAAAAAGGACTGGGTATATAGCTCAGGGATAAAGTGCCTTTGGGTTCAATCCTCAGTGCAAAAAAAAGAAAGAAAGGAAAAAAAAGAATCTACCACCTTGAAAACTTAAGTGTAATGAGGAGTTATCTTTAATTAAGGAGTCCAATATTCTCTAGTCCCATCTTTGTTAAAGTAAATGAATAAAACAAGAATATAATTACATACATTTTGTATGTATGTGGGCCCCAAATTATTAAAAGTGGTTAATCTGGGTAATAGAATAATGCATTAAATAATATTCTCTATGATAATTTTTGTTCCAAAAAATCAAAGGTGGAATGTTCTCTCTTGATATGTGGATGCTAACATCCAACAAGGGGGTGGGGAGAGAATAGAAGTTCAGTGTTTCAAAATCTTTTTTACAAATTTTCTCTGAATAAATTACTTTTTAATCAGAAGTTGGGGGGGGGTCTTAGGAAACTGTTTTCTCTTTGGAATATTTCCACCCTTACTTACCTTTCTAAAATTAGTGAGATTTTCCTGAGTCATCACCTCCACTCTCAACTGGCATGTAGGCTCTCTTGCATTTATAGCAGGCTAGACGCCACGGAAGATTCACAGCTTTACACCATGAGCAGATCCAATTCACTTGACTGGAGCATGAAGCAGACTTCTCCAGTTGCTGGGATTCCAAGGTTTTTTTCACTTGGGGTTGCTTGGCCTTCTGAACCTGAGACTGCTGTTTCTTTGGGCTTTTTTTCATACCCTGACTCTTAATGCTACCCAGGGGGGTTGCCTGGGGTCTCTCTGGATCTTTCTGCTGCCCCAGGCTCCCATTAGCCACCAGGGGAGCAGTCCCCTGGGGCATTGCTGTATCTTCCTTCTGGATGTGGCTGCTGCTTTCCTCCAGGGGGTCTGTCCCCTGGGGCCTCTCTTTACCCTCTTTCTGGGTAAGGCTAATGCTCTCCCCCATGGGGTCTTTCCCCTGGGGCCTCTCTTTACCCTCTTTCAGGGTAAGGCTAATGCTCTCCCCCATGGGGTCTTTCCCCTGGGGCCTCTCCTGACCCTCCAGGCTTTGGCTTATGCTTTCCCCCAGGGAAGTCATTCCCTGGGAACCCTCAGGACCTTCTTTTTGCTTGGGGCTTGTTAGATCTCCCAGGTTGCATCTGCCTGGGAGGTTCTCAGGATATTCATCCTGGCCCCGGCAGCTGAGGCAACTCTGGACACATTGAGGAGCCATTCCCTCCTGGCACCCCACTGGAGCCCACAAGCTGGGTGAATAGGTCACTGCAGGAGGCACCTGGGATGCAACTGCTGCCACTGTTGTGGCTGTTGCTCCTGCTGATTCTGATTCCATTACTACAGGGGCTTGTAGAGGTGTTGAGTATGGGAATCCCACTGGGATTGGCACTGGATGGGGCACTGGCATTTGCACATGTGGTTGCATTGCCTGGGACCAAGGACATGGGTGTCCTGGTACATAAAGCAAAGGTGCTGGGGCTGGCATCTGGGCCTCTACATATGGCATGCCCTGTGCTCCAGCTGCCACCACCTCTGCCTGCTCCTCTCCCTCCAGGGGCCATGCCACAGCACCATGCTGTTGGGCTGCCATAATAGGTACAACCTTTGGGGGCAATGGATCTGCCAATGCTGACCTCTCAGCCTGAAGTAGTCTCCCATGTAGCACTTCACGCTCATCCATCGCCTGCTGCAGGGCAACCTGAGTGAAGCGCAGCTGAGTGGTAGCATCATCGCGCTCCTGACGCAGCCGCTGCAACTCGGAAGCCAGCGCCCAGCAAGCCGCCTCGCGCTCCTCCACCTGATCCTGCAGCCTACGGACCCGACGCCCCTGCTGCTCCCGCTGCCTGGCCACCACTCGCACGCCCAGGGCCAGGGCGCTCCAGGTGCACGCCCTCTTGAGGGCACGAGGCACCTGCGGGTCCACCACCACAGTGCGAAGCCGGTCCTCCACCTCGTTCCAGGGACGAGAGCGAAAGGCCATGTAGAACTCCGGGCCACCACCGTTCATGAGAACTTCATTATTAATGAACCGGACCACCTCGTTATGGCGAAAGCCACTGGCGTGGTCGCCAAATTCCACCGCCATGGCTGCTGCGGCCTAGGAAGTAGAGCTACGGCTTCGCGGCTGCTACTTTCGCTGCAGCCCGGGGAGTCTGCAGCCACCAACTCTCTCCCCACAGTCCTCGCTCAGTGCTATTTCAGTATTTGCTCAGTCCTGGCCCAGTCCTGGCCTCCTCCTCCACCTCCTTCCTCCCTCAACCCCCTCAGTCTCCTCACGAAGAACAAAGCCGCTCCTCTCACCACCACGTGCCTGCTGCGACAATGTGACATGGACAGACAAATGCTGAGTCATGCCGCAAAGCCTGTCGGGACCTACCTCCCTTCACAGAGTGCCACCTACTGGAACGAAGTGTGAGCAAGGTGGCCTTCTGGGACTAGCCTCCCTTGACACAGTGCCACCTACTGGGAGGGAGTATAAGCAAGGTGGCCTAGACAGGGACTGCAGTGAGACTGTTTGGGATGGGTGAAAGTAGGTCCTTTACAGAGACTCTAACCCAGGAGGTGGCGAGTCCTTCAATCATATAAACACTCCTAATCTAAAAGGAAGATGCTTCTGCGGAAATCAGAGATTTTCTGAGCAAGGAGGCTGGGAAGGAGGGAGGGAGGCATCAAAGATGGATAGTTGGGTGGAGAACGGGGTTGTGGATCTCCAACTTTAGGAAGGTGAATAGGTGCAAGAAGGGATTTTTTTCAAAATTCAGGAGAGCCTGCACGGTGACACACGCCTGTAATCCCAGCAGCTCGGGAAGCTGAGACAGGAGGATCTCAGGTTTAAAGCCATCCTCAGCAAAAGTGAGGAGCTAAGCAACTCAGTGAGACCCTGTCTCTAAATAAAATACAAAATAGGGCTGGGGATGTGGCTCAGTGGTTGAGTGCCCGAGTTCAATTCCCAGTACAAAAACAAACAAACAAACAAAAAAACCTCAGTAGAGGAAGCAGTGCTGACAGGTGTGAGAGAGAAAGCTTGGGCTTGCACTGCTGCTGTGGGGAAGGTTTGGCAGCAATGGGAACCAAGCTCAGTTGTATACCCTGTACACAACTGAAGTAAGAACTTGGCAGTTGAAGATTACAAGGTGAAGCTGTATGATAAGGATAGCAAGGAGCACCAGAAAGAGCACAACTGCAATGGCTGAATAAAGGAAGAAAGGGAACCCAGTCCAAGATGGTGTTCTGGGAACACACGGAGCTATTAAGGTCGCAGGCCACAATGCAGGTGCATGTTCTGATTCAGGGAAAAGACACTTAAGAGCTCCACATTTTGGACTGGAGTTCTGTGATGGATGATGAGATAATGTGTGGGAGAAGTGAATCCTAGTGAAGATGCTGGATCTCGGATATTTCCAAGAGTTTCTGGAGAATACTATATATAAGCATGGGTACGGGTTTCCCATTATGGAGTGGGGAGAAGGGACTGCTCTTTGCTCAATTCCTGCATAGCTCCTACCTCACTTACTCCCACAGAAAGAATTTTCTCTTCTCAACTTTAAATACTTCTGTTCTGGGATGGTGGCACATCTAGTAAACCCAGCAATTAGGAAGCTGAGAGAGGAGGAAAGCAAGTTTTAGATAGACTTCAGCAACATAGCAAGAACCTGTCTCAAAATAAAAATATAAAAGGGCTAGGAACATGGCTCAGTGATAGAGCATCCGTAGGTTAAATCTCCAGTATAGCAAAAGAAAAAAAATCTGTGGATCCCAGCCTTTCCCATCTCCTTAGGGAAGATGTTTGCATTCCTTAGAAAGTTTGCTGTATTCATTACCTCTTTACTGTCCTCTCCAATTTCTTCTCCTCTATTAACTCCTTTCCCAATACAATATAAGCAGTTTCAGGTTTCTTACATGCTATATTATTTTCTTGTCTACATTCTCTGTACCTTAATTTCCAAACATAAAACTAAAGAGAATGTTCTAAGGGTACCATCAGTGACTTTCCCCACCCAATAAACCAAGTTTCTTCCAACTTTACCTTTTTGTAGCACTGAATTCTGTACATTTCCTTTTGAAAAATCAATCCTACTTTTTCTTCTGTGATGTCAAATCCTACTGATTTTCATTGTGTCAATCTGGCTGCTCCTTATTAGTTCCCTCTGCTGTCCACTATATGGTTCCATTCACCCCTTAAATACTAGTGTCTATCTGAGGTTTGTCCTCAAAAACCTCAAACTTCAGGACTCTCCCTCATTACAAACACTCTCTGCTATCCCATCAATTCTGTTGTTCTTAACTACCATCATTTCATTAATTGCTAAGACTCCTGAAACATTATACCCAGTCCTGATCTGTTCCTCAAAGTTCAGACTCACCTAAACAACAACCTCCTAAAAATCTTTGCCTATATCTTCCAGAGGAACTTTTATTGTTCACAAGTCCTAAACTAATCAGTACTACTTTGGACAAAATGCTTATCAAGTTTGATGCCATTTCTGAAGATACATTTCCTCCCAAGAGTTGTTAGACAAGAACATCCAAGTCTCCCCATATCTGCAAAGGATGTATTTCAAGATCCCAGTGGATGCCTGAAACTTCAGATAGTATTGAACCTTATATGTACTATGGTATTTTCTTTTACATACGCAAATTTAATGTCTTTTCCATTTTAAGTAAACACTGTGGTCACAACTTTTGCAGTTTGAGTTACAACAGCAAAACTAGAACAATTTTTTCCTTCAAAATTTCATAGATAGGGCTGGGGCTGCAGCTCAGTGGTAGAGCGCTTGCCTCGAACATGTGAGGCACTGGGTTTGATCCTCAGCACCACATAAAAATAAATAAATAAAATAAAGCTTAAAAAATTCACAGATAGAAGATTCATATTTATGTGCTTCCTCACATGTTTAAGTTTGAACATTAGATAAGCTTGCAAGCATATAAAGCAGGGTTTATTTAAAAAGAAATTGTTATGCTCGAATTTGGGACCCCCAAAAGACCACCAGAGACCAAGATGATGTAAGCAGCAAAGAGGTGTTTATTGTGAGCTAGCTCGGTCCTCCGCACGCACACAGCAACAGGTGACACTGAGAGGCCCGGAGACCAGGGTTTGCAGCAGTTCTATACACTCTTTGGGGAAGGCAGGGACTTCACATACATCATAGCATCTCTTAGCAAATCATCACACACCACGGGAAAATCAAACAACAACTCTAAAACAAGATTAGCATATCAAGTGGCGGGGAAAGAATCTGGAAAGAATTATTGGTTAGTTCAAGGGGTTGACACACTTAAAATTGATTGGTTTAAACCCTGAGGGTGTCGCAAGGGGGGTACATGCCAAGCTGCAGGGCTTCTAGTTTAGATATTGGTCACCACACCTAGGTGGGGGCCATCTAGAATTTCAGATATTTGGATATCTTGGCCTATCTTAGACCATCACCATCTGCGTCTTTTCTGAGAACTCTTCCACCGAGCTTTTTTGTGGTATTTTCCTGACTTTAGGACTACAGTAGGTCAGAGGTTATGTTTCAGAGCAAAATGAGGTCCCAAGTATAATGAGATTGCTTAGGTCTTTCAGAATAACATAGACTTCTCCTGGGGGAAGAAGGGGGCCATAGCTGGTATCTTGGTATCCCCAGAAGTGAGGTGTTCTACCCTTTTTCAATGTCCTAGGCTTCCTTTGTTTGCCTGCTCTCTTCCCTTTATCTTTCTCCTTCCTGCAAGCTCACTAGATGGAGGAATGCTCCCTGGGATGGCCAAAAGGTGGGAAACCAGTGAGCTGAATGGGGAAGGGCAGTATGGTGCAGCCCAGGGCACATTAATTAACAACTTTATAACTCCCTGTAGGCAGGGGCAATTCCTGGGATTGGTTACCTTAGCAACTGGTTGAAGAAGGATAAGGGTGGAGGAAGGACTGTTAAGGAATTAAAATTTCAATCCATCAGGGGTCATTCTCCAACTTCCCAGTACTCATCAAAATTGGCCTAACTCAGTTTACCTATCTACACTGACTGCCTGTCTAATTCTGGCTTCAACATTAGGAGGCCAAAAGAAAGAAACTCCACTCACCATGGAAAAATATGTATCCTAAAATTACCCACCTCCTCCAGCTACGCTCTACCTGCCTTAAATTACCTCTCATTTAATCCCTATTAGGCGATTAATTCACTGATTGGCTTAAGCCTCTCATAACCCATTTTACCTCTAAGCTTTCTTGCATTGTCTCACACATGAGTTTTTGGGGAACACCTAATATCTAAACCATAACATTCCATCCCCAGCCCCCAGAAGCTCATGATCATTCACAATGCAAAATAAATTTAGTCCATTTCCAGGAGTCCCCATAGTCTCAACAGTTCCAAGATTTCCCAAGAGTCCACGTCCAAAGTCTCCACTGAGACTCAGGGCAAACTCTAAGTGTGAGTGAAAAACCAGCCTCTGCCTCAGAGCAAAGCCTGTCCAAGGAAGGGACATGACCTTAGTCCTTGGAAAAACCCACAGAACACTCCTAAGCACATTCCCACCCTGCTAAGTTGTTTATCTACAAATAACAGGAGAGATCTGCTGCACCAGGTGTCCCTGACTCAGTCAGGCTAGGTGGGGATCCATAGCAGCCCCCTAGCAGCCACCAATCAGCATGAGACAGGGAAATACCTGGGATGCCAGATGACCCTCCCAGTGGTTTATGGTGGTTAATAACAAGTTGGGAAACCATGTAGTTCAGCATGTACACCCCTCTTGGCTGAAACCAATCAGTTCAAACGAGTACCCCTTTTGTACTGACCAATCACCCCTACCCAACTTGTTCCCGCCAGTGAATGTGCTAATCATGTTTTAGAGTTGTTATTTGATTTTCCTGCAGTGTGTGATGATTTGCTAAAAGAGGCTATGATGCATGTGAAGTCCCTGCCCTCTCCAAAAAATGTATAAAAATGCTGCAAACCCTGGGCTCGGGGCCTCTCAGCATCACCAGTTGCTCTGTGTGTGTGTGGAGGACCGAGCTAGCTCGCAATAAACACCTCTTTGCTGCTTGCATCGATCTTGGGTCTCTGGTGGTCTTTGGGGGTCCCGAATTCGAGCATAACATGAGTCCCT